TAACGCAAAGAGGAAATTATAATAAAAGTAAATAGTAACAAATTTAGGATTTTAGACAGAACTACATTTACTATAAAAAAGACACGCCACAACTAAAAAACTAACCTAGAAATTAGTATTTTTTGATTAATTGATTTTTAAAACTCGCTACATACAGTTCTATTAGTTTTAACTAATCGAACCGTTCAGTAAGTGTGTAGACAAAGTTTTATTTGTCAGTTAAATTGATCAGTTACAGTTAGAGCTCAAACACACATTTGACTAAACTATCGCACAACTGTTTGGTCGCGCTACGATTCCTATGAGCTTATATAGATGTGAGTACATTATTTGATTTTTAGTTGTGCAACTAAACAGTTGAATTGGCTGCGAAACAATCGACAATCGCAAAACCGATTTCACACAACTTTCTAACCTAAAAAAGAACAAATTTCGTGTGATTCTTTTGTATATCTTCCTACGTATTTTCCAATAAACGTATGCTAGAATTCCAAACACATAAACTTTTCTGCGCAGTAACTGTGAATGTGATTCCATCGTTCCACGATCCGTCCACTCCATTTCATCCAGTATCTTCGGAATTACTCGCAGGCTACAAGCAATTCTTGTGCGTCGTTTTCTCTACACTTCATTCTCCGACGCTTCCTTTATGCGACTTGGCTGATTGAAGTACAGTCGGGGAATTTAGCGGTGTACCAAAAGCTATACGTTTGTATTATTTGTACGAATTGAGACGACAAATCAACCAATAGGATGCTTTTAAATGTGCCTTTACGAAAAAAAGGTCAGTCAGTTAATTGCTTCATATGATTATTGGCTTTCGCCCCAACTCCGTCCGAGTGGAATTAAAAAAAAAGTGAGTAGCCTATGTGTTCTTCCAGACTATTTTTTACAACTACACGAAATTACATACAAATCCGTTCAGCCGTTAAGGCTACAAACTCTAACAAACATCCATCTATCTAAACTTTCGCATTCATAATATTAGTATACTCGTTTGTGCGATTACTGGTACTTTTTTAATGCTGAAAAAAATATTGTATCAGCCCAGTGGCTTTTGAATTATCTTTCTACATAGATATACATAGATTAGTAAGAAGAGGTGGTAGTCTCTACATGGCAATTATTCTGAGAGTCAAACACCGTAGGTTTCCGCTACTGTACTTTCACACTTTTGATAGCTACGAGAAAGCCAATGGGTTTTGGTCTTGGCTTTCGTAGAGTCAGTATACGATGGAACAGTTGTTTATATCGCCTAAACAACACCTGAAAGTGTTTCCACTTTGTTTGTATTCTAAATGGACTCTGTTTGAAAACGTTTTACGTTTGCCACTTTTTATTGGTGTGGAATTTTATAAGACTAAAAGTTTTGGGTACCTATAGTTAAATGTTAGTACTTTACAAGATAAAATACTGTAGTTACTTAACTACACAAGATAAAACTGTTTAATCTTCTTATGTAACATCGATTTAATATTAAAAATTTTATAATAATGGGGACAAAAGTATACTACAATAATAACTGATTAACAGTCGTTTTATTATTCTTCCCGATTCGTTTGTTATACAAATGTTTAAAGTTTTAATTGAGCAATCAACATATTTATTCACCGACAGTTGAGTTTGTACTGTAAACAACAAGCGAGTTACTTGTCAAACCTAAATTGTTATTATAATAAATGGTTTATGTTAATTAACCTAGTTCGTAACATATAGACAAAACTGTAACAGATAACATCTTATTTAAACATGAATATACTCGTTATTACGTAAATAATTAGTAATATTACTCACATTTTATTTTCAAAGTTCACATACCTCCGGTTTCCGGTTTGCATACATTTGTAAATGTATTCATTTTTATGCAGATGACTGTAAACAATAGGTTAAGCTATCGAACATAACTCATCATCATCTCTCCTGCCTTATCCTACTCCCGTAGGGTCGGCGCACCGGGTTTTCGTCCTCCAAAGCACTCTATCATCCGTCATCTCAGTCATCACTCCCTTCTTGATCATGTCACCTTTTACGCAATCCATCTATCTCTTACTACGTCTACCTCTACCGATGTATCCCTCCACATTCATAACTAACGTCCGTCTTGTTACATGCGATTCATCCCTTCTCATAACATGCCCATACCACTCTAACCTTTTACTCCTTATTTTCTCAACCACTGCGGCTACTCTCAAACTTCCTCTATCTCTCTCGAACATTATCATGGATGATAAATGTTTTTTTTTTAAATGTTATTTGGGTCTATTGAAGATTGAATTCTGAGAGTGGCTATGTGATGATTCTTAAACACTTAGCATCGGCCACTTAAGACTATGCGGAGGATCGGGTCGACTTAAGAGGTACGGGAAAAAGACAAATAATAGGTCACGTAGAACGATTCCGAGAACGTGACTAATTATCCTTATTGTTTGATCGAGGACAGAAAACTTGTTCACGAGTTTGCTGAACTTGTTAAGGACGTACTCTGAAATAGTGTCGTTGATAATTCAATTGCAGAAACTTCTGCAGCGATGTTGTATATCTCGGTATATCTTGAGAAAATTGTAGTTGTCAGGAACATGGATGCAGCGATATCTTTTGTTGTTGAAATTAATTTGATCTAAAAACGGTCAAATTAGACTTTGTTTAGTAAAACAAATGAGTAAATCTAAGATTGTACAGATAGTAAAATTTAGAATATTTGAATACTGTAAATGCTTGTACTTTTTCCAATGCATTTTTTTATAATATAAGGTGGCAAACGAGCAAGCGGCCACCTAAATCCACCGAAATGGAAAGCGCCTGCTGCCCATAAACATCCGCAATTGCAGATGCGTTGCCTACCCTTAATTGATGGAGGAGGAAACGCACATACAGAGGACATTTCCCCTATGCGTCTCCTCCACCGTCATATCCCCTTTTCCTTCCCATCCTTTCCTCTCAAGAAAAGGTGGAAAGGAAAAGGGACTATAATTAGGCCTCCACCCTTCACGCCTGTTTTCATTGTGGTCGTGGTATTACACCGGGCGAGCCATTCGTGCGAAGATGTTAAATCGGGCTCTATCACTGTAAAATTGACAAAGAGTCTATTACAGGCAATTTTAAATAATAGATAATATATGAAGTTCACAAAAATGTAGATGTTCAATTGCTATGATAGTATTTAACTTTTTTATACACTAAGTTGCATAAAATTCTTTTAATTCATTGTAAGGTTTTCTTTCGTTAAGTGAGCTATTACTGCGGCCTATTTAAATAGGTTCATAATAAATGTCTTAGCCAGGCAAACTTTATTGTAACAGTAGCAAAGATTAATTTTTTATTCGCTTTGTCATACGACAATGGATGAAATGAAAGCTTTTCGCGAAAATTTAAATGAATACTAAATGAAGTGAAATTTTAAATCTTACTTCTTACTAGTATTGAAAACTAGCTGTTCCCGTGCGATTTCATCAGCATAAAATTATTTTATTGTATACATGTGTCAAATTGTCAATTGCAAATGTCAAAATGACATGACATGACAAAACTTGGCAATCTTGCTTCCTTGATGTTGGCAGCAACTTATGGCCCCTTTCCCACATTAGGGTTTTTATCCAAAATTTTTACCCCCTAAGTTTAATGGCGTGAAAATATATAGCCTAAAGCGTGACGTAAGTGTAGGGCTTTTTATTAAAAAAGAGTTATTCAAAAATATGCTGTAATTACTGACATCTTAGGCAAAGAAGTGTGTGTTTACGCTTTATTATAATAGTATAGATGCGAAAGTTTAGATGGATGGATGTTAGAGTTAGCCTCAACAGCTGAATAGATCTCAATGCAATTTGGCATATATGTAGAGGATAGTCTGGAAGAAAACATAGGGTCCTCATTCTTTTTTAATTCTACGCGGACGGAGTCGCGGGCGTATGGTAGTATCTCATATTTGAACTTCTAGGCTTCTTTAATCGTGAGTTTTTACTGTCGAAACCAATTTAGAAAACATATTGTCATCCATTTCACTCTTTAACACAACTGTGATGAAGATGTTTTGGAAATCGTTCCCTAATACTTATCAGAACACTATACGTCGTACCTCTACGCTTTGCCAAATCTAGTACAATATCATGAAAAATTCCATTTTTTTCTTAAAATCAATGTTGCCCGTAACTTCGTCAACGCAGAATCAAAAATCGTTCTAAGTTTGCGCACATTGGTACCATCCATTAAAAGTGCTTTTAAAATTGGTTCAACCATTGCCGTCGTTTCGGGGATTAGCCGGAACAACGGCAAATTTGCAGACTGACAATAATATTAATAATTTAATTTTTGTTAGAAACATCGCAAATAGATCATGTGTATTTTTGTATTTTACGCAGATACACTTTTAACTATATGAATAGATAGGCTTTCGCCCGCGATTCAGTCAGCGTGAAATTACAGAAATAAAAGTGAGTAGCCTATGTGTTCTTCCAGGCTACCGTTCGTCAAAATCCGTTTGAGCTACAAACTCTAACAAACATCCATCCATCCATCTAAATTTTCTCATATATAATATTACTAAGATTAAGATGTATAGATAAGTTTCATTTAAAATAAACAAGCCTACTAACTGCTTTTTACTAGATATAAATTTCAACTCCCAACTTTACTGCTTCAGTGTAACATTTTGCGCAGGGAAAGAGTTCTATTAGGTTCAATTTATCGGGTACAAAAGCAATTTACAAAGTTTATCTAACATGTGTCGGATCCTGGTGATACTTGGAACCTTCGCCCCGGGGGATGCAACGTTTTCTTTTAACATGTAAACCACGTTTATTGCTCTTTGCTACTTTTTATATGTTCCTTAAACATTTAATACTGGGATCTTGGAAAACAACCCTCTTTCTTGTTTTATTGTTTATAAACAGGAGAAACGAATGAATAATGTGATACTTGTGTAGATTGTAGAAATAACATTATCAAATGCACTATTTTGTTCTGATGAAATTAGATTTTCAATATTGTGTCTTCTCTTGTTTCAGGTTCTCCAAGGACTGACGTCATAGGGCCCAAACTAGAATGTTTAGAATAAAGAAAATAAGACATCATAAGAAATACAAAGTACGATGAAAGACATATCACAATGATAGAGGACGGCCGAGATTCTTCCAAACGAGCATTTTGCCATCAGACAGGTTTCGTCGACGAGCCCAAGTGTTGTTTCACAAAGAAGGAAGATTCTAGATTGTTCTGTTGCCGGTGCGCACACAAAAGACGAGCCTCGCCGCTCACTTGTTTGGCGATCTGCTTTCTCGTATTAACTTACAATCTACTAGGTGGATTCCTGTTCCTTGCAATCGAAGGTGGCGTGACAACTGAAGAGACATCCGTAGCCGCATCCAAACCCAATCCAACCCAGCAGGGAGGTGCTGAACTTAGATCCAAAACTGTAGAACGTCTGTGGTCTATTACTGAGGATTTAAATATTTTGTATAAAGAAAATTGGACCAAACTCGCTGCTAAAGAGTTGATGGATTTCCAGAAGGTTCTATTGCGATCGATGCACAATTCAGAGGGAGCACCTTATGACCATGGTGGTGATTATCGATGGACGTTCTCCAGCAGTTTTCTTTATGCACTAACTCTTATCACCACTATAGGTAATAATCATTAATCATTGTAATACTTAAGAAATATTTATTATTAATGTTGAAATGCACTAAAAAATTGTAAATTGTTACTGAAGCATATACTTCCCATAGTTTTCGTAATTACCTATATTAAAAGTTTGCCATAGAATCCTCGTCAGTTAGAAAATATTAAAGTAAAATCAATATAATTTTTTATGTATGGTCTTGAATAGTCATGGAAAATAATGTTCCTAATTTTCGATGTGCCTTATTGTGCCTGAAGCCGAAAAATAATTACGTTATTGTGCTTAACCTCATACTTTTCTTGCAGGTCATGGAAACGTCACTCCGAAGTCAATAGTTGGGAAGATAGTTGCAGTGGCGTACGCGTGCGTCGGAATACCAATTATAATGCTGTACCTATCCACGATAGGCGAGGCTCTAGCTAGGAACTTTAGAATTCTCTACTCCAAGATATGCCCGACGAGATTTAAAAGTGGCAACTTTCACACCAAGGCTGAATGTCTCGGCAGGTACTCGTTGCCAGCGTTGGAATGTAGGCAGTACGTGGACTGTGATAAAAAAGGCAAACTCGGAGAGAAACAGAAGATAACCCCGTTCCAAGCGGCGTTAAATTTAAATAGTTTAAGTGGAGGATATCACTGGACTTGTCGAGATCATACGAGAGTTCCAATAGTTTTAAGTCTATTCGTTATAGCATTGTATATAGTTCTTGGGACATTCGTGTTTCATACGACAGAGAAATGGAACTTGATAGATGGATGTTATTTCTCATTTTCTAGTCTAGCGACAATCGGCTTCGGTAATCTAAGGCCGGGACTGTATGCGGCGACGGTGTCGGCTAAAGCCGAGGATGTTGCTGTTGGTGTGTGTTGCGTGTACATTCTAGTTGGTATAGTGGTAGTGGCGATGTGCTTTAATCTAATACAGGAGGACACTAGCGCCGCACTACGGAGTGTGGCAACCCTGTGTTCAGGAGGAGGGAAATCTCGTGCAGTCCATAGTATTGAATGCGGGGATGAGAAGCTAACAACAACGGTAGCAGTTTCCTGACGTTCAGCGGCGGCCGAGTGCGCGCCGTCTGTATCGGGAGCGACGCGGTCTGATAGACGACCGCAAGTATCTTTCCGGATAGACGGCTCGAACCCGACCAAATTCAGCAGCCTACCGCGTAGAAAGACGGCCGCGTTGGGCGAGGAGAGTTTCGTGCGGGGTATCCCGGCACGTCGTTCCGCTGGCCCCGCACCCAGAAGCCTCAGCGAGCTCAACCTGAGCGGTTCTCGTCGCGACCGTACTGTTACTTTCGAAGACGATCGCGCCCTCGCTGATGACGTATTCATGTGACATTGCTATGTAATACCTATAAGAACACGATTTGTTACTTAATAAACTAATGTTTTACACGACTTTTATTTTATTTCTGGATCCCTTATTACACTAAATTCAACTGCAAAGTGCTACCGATTCTTTTCACAGTCTATCTAAAACTGCACTTACTTTCCTTAATGTGAATGGAAGGATGTGACATACAAACATTTAAAGTTAAATGCCAAACCAGTATTTTGTGAGGTTATCCATATAAAAATCAAATTAAATCTTACCTATATAATAAATGCGAACGTTTATATTGATGTTTGCATGAGTTTGTGGCCTAAACTGCTGAAAAAACAAAATTTGGCATAGATGTAGAGAATGTTCAGGAAAAACACAAGCAAATTTTTAATTCCACGCGGATAGTTGCGGGGAAAAGTTAATTAATGATATATCTATACAGCTCCACTATAAATAGAGGGTGTATTATTTCACCGACATCACTAATAAACAAGGTGACGCAGTACAAGTGGCGCCGAGTCAAGGTGAATGTATTTCAGTTGAAGGTTGATAGATTAACTTGTCACCAAATAGTAATCAATATCAATTTACGTCTGATCAATGTTGCTGAGAGAATACAGATAAATGACGTATTACAACTCGGTTTTCTATGAATACAGCGTGTTAGTCAATCGATTGCGGTTGTTAAATCTAGACTAATACTAGAATCGACCGCGATTCCGTCCGCGAGGAATTAAAAAAAACAAAAGTGAGTAGCCTATGTACTTCCAGACTATCCTCTACATCTATACCAAATTCATTGAGATCCGTTAAGCCGTTTAGGCTACAAACTCTAACAAATATCCATCATCTAAACTTTTGCATTTATAATATTAGTAAGAAGTAAGATTAAGAGGAAAGATTTATATTTGTATTTTTGTATGTATTGAAATAATTCAAAAACTACTGAGGCGATATCAAACATTCTTTCACCATTAAAAAGGAACGTTATCAGCGAGTAACATGAGCTACATTTTTTAATATCTTTTAATTTCAGGCGAAGTCGCTCTTTATAATATTAGTACAGACAGAAGTTTATGGATATAACATAAAATACATGACACGTATGTACTCACTCATACAAAGGACGAGGAAGACCGAAGAAAGTATGGATTGATTGTGTGGAAGAAGATATGACGGCTGATAGAGATGTATGGAAGCACATACTGTGTCTCCCTCCATAAGGGATAAGGGCAAGTTGATGATGTATGTACTCACTCATGTGAAGCTTTAGCGGATAGCTAGTCTCGTATAATCTGGTGAATTACCAAGACCGTTAGCATTGAAATTTATTTTCCTAAAATTCGGTGAAACGTGAAAAAATATCTAAGTTACCATGACAAGATTAGTTCATTGTGTAAGTTCGTTCGAAAGGAAAATCTGGGCTGACGCGCAAATTACGAATTATAAGCGTAAATTACAAAGTAAGATTAATGATGACCTCGTCAAAGGACAAAAGAAGCGGTAAATAAACGATAGTGTGGTCAATGATGCAGAAGTTTCGATTTAGTCTGAACACAACCTTAGCTCGCATATTTGCCTTTACTTATTGATCTGAACCTTTAGATTATAAAGTTATCTAGTCTCACTTAGGCTCTTAGGATAAAAGTGATTAGTAAATAGGCTAATATTGTAAAGAAGTAGAAAGAAGATGTAGAACATGGTCTGGTAGAAGATACAGGCTGCTAATTTTTTGATTCCGCGCGGACAGAGTCGCAGGTGATAGCTTATAACAGTATATTTTAATAGTATATCGTTAATATTATTAGCTTAACAATGCCATTTAAAATACCTTAAGATGGTGCGCACAACTTAGACTAAACTATCGCATAACTGTTGTGCGATTGTCGATTGTTTCGCAGACCATTCAACGGCTTAGTTGCACAACTAAATCGATTAGTTTGCGCACCTGCATATAAACTCATAGTAATCAAAGCGCGACTAAAAAGTTGTGCGATAGTTTAATCTTATGTCCGCACACTAATTCACACTGAAAATTTGACACCTCAAATTTTCTACTTCAACATTCAACTCGTCTCTGTTCACTAAGTGCGAAAATGTTTACATAATGTTTAACATTTTAGTGGAAAATTGAAAGAATCCGGTTTTAAACAGACTTTACGCTTTCCATTTCCATGAATTATGCATCTCGTGATCCATTCAAATGAAGTCTTTGTCGTGTTTGCGCAATTCTTATAAGAAAGTCAGTCGTAACTGGTGCTTCTTATGTTAATGATACTGTTCCCGACGCAGCAGTTTGTAGACGAGTACCCGCTGCGATTTAGAATCGTTCCTTGTTTCGCTTAAAACAATTACGGTACACAAAATATAACTCGTTTGCCCCCTTCTCTTATAGAAAACAATAGGTACTTACAGACTACGTAATACACGTAGACATTTTATATTTCTTTTAAATTATTTTGGAGTCTTATTATCTATACTATTATAATAAAGCGTAAACATACACTTTTTTGTTGCCTAAGATCTCAGCAATTACAGCATATTTTTGAATAATATTTTTTTTAATAAAAATCCCTACACTTACGTCAGGCTTTAGGCTACATATTTTCACGCCATTATGCTGAGGGGGTAAATATTTTGATAAAATCCCTAATGTGGGAAAGAGACCATAAATTGCTGCCAATGTCATGGAAGTAAGATTGGCAAGGTTTGTCTTGTCATGTCATTTTGACATTTGCTATTGATAATTTGACAAATATAATAATAATAATAATAAGATAGCGAAGAGCTTCGACCAACACCTCAAGAAGCTCTCGCTAGACAGTTGGATTAAGGGCCCGATTCAAAAGGCGGTTATTTTAGAAACCGCACGGCTAGTGAGGAGGTTCCTGTCTCTGCAGCCCTGACCACTGGTTGCTTGAGTCATCGGATTCCGCAGCCGGTGGATTTCTATTTTTTTATATAATATGTTTTATTTTGTTATTCTTTTAAGAAAATCATGTGAAATGTATTATATATAAAAATAAGAGAATAAAGATATGTTAAAATAATAATAATAGCCTTTATTCAGATAGTTTTACAATGTTAATTTTAATTATTAAGTTACAAGTATTATATGTCATTAATTATTATCTGTTTGTCCGTTACGGACATAGGCCTCTTCCAACTTCCTCCATTTTCATAATTTCATGTCGGTTTCACATGAAATTATGAAAATTATATTTTATTGTTACACGGGAACAGCTAGTATGGTATAAAGTTTAAAAAATATGAAACAGATAGCCTATATTATTCATAGATAAATTATCTTTCTAACTGTGAAAGAATTTTTAAAGTCGGCCCAGTAGTTTTTGAGTTATTTCAATACATACAAAAATTCAAAAATACAATCTTCCTTCTTTATAATATGAGTATAGATAAAGTAGCAACCGAGCTTAGCCAGAATAGTGAACTATCCGCGCTATACGCATTATCTACCCTTAATTTCTAATTAAAAATTAAAGGGCTTATCACGAAAATTTGTGACAACATTGTCGTAACGTCATCGACGAAGTTTGTATCAAATTTCTGCTGGTAAAAGTAAAGTAGCAACAAATCTATAATAATTTTCAATGTCGTTACGAACACGTTTATGCAAATACCACGCAATATTTGTGATACACCCTCTGACATTTGCAACGAAGTCTTTATATACTTTAGTCTTTACATTTTATAATCTTAATCTAAAGAAACTAACGTTATCGTTAAATTGTAAACTATAATCATAACCGTTATACAGTACTAAGCAATTTTGTAAATTGCCTTGTACTTCTACGTTGGTAACAATTTGGTGTAATGTACTCGTAAAACATCTTCTTTATTATCATTCTTTATTATGGAATAGCTGTTCCTGTGCGGCTTCATCCGCATGTCATCCGCTTTGTCAAATTATCAATAGCAAATGTCAAAATGACGTGACATGATAACCTTGCTTTTTTGATGATGGCAGCAACTTATAGTCTCTTCCACATTTGGGTTTTTATACAAAATATTTACCCCCTAAGTTTAATGACTTTAAAATATATAGCCTAAAGCGTCACTCAAGTATAGGGCTTCTTATTAAAAAAAATAATTATTCAAAAACTTGCTGTAATTGCTGACATCTTAGGCAACAAAGAAGTATGTGTTTACTTTTTATTGTGGAACAGGCCCTAAATATAAGTACGAATTTTGACGTCGACCACGTGATTTGTTTCCCTAAATTTTGGACTATTTTAATAACATAACAGTAGGGCAATTACTCAAAACTTTACAAAGTGTAATTCCACAAATACGGTGAGTAAATATTTATTATTTAAATTTAACACAATTCCGGTAAATTAAGCATTTGCGACCGACTACGGAGTAACTTAAAGTTCGCCAACAAAGTCAACAGCTTTACGTGCTTAGCAAGTAAAGGCTCCTTTTAAAAGCGCGTTAAGTAAATTGACGTGACTTAATTATAATGTTAGGTCAGGGATTTTCAATTAAATATCTTCTGAAAGTTGCTTATAAACTATTTTATGAAGCTTAATCAAGTTAAGAATAATGTACAGTTGGGAAAACTGGCGGTGTTCCATCTTGAAAGCTACAATCGTTTGAACAATTGAAAAAAACGCAACCTACAAATCTGTCTGTACGAAAAAAGTCGGTTAATGATACATGGCTAGTTTCAATTAATTACTATACCTTCATTTGAACTAATCATCATCATCACCAGCTCACTATACGTCCCCACCGAGGGGCTCGGAGCCTACCCTAAGTTAGGGTGACTAGGCCATAGTCAACTACGCTGGCCTACTGCGAGTTGGTTAACTTCACACTTATCTTTGAATTTCTTCGCCGATATGTGCAGGTTTCATCACGATGTTTTCCTTGACCGTAAGAGCGTCAGGTAAATTATGTACATATGAAAATTCGAAAAATCGAAAATGACCTTGGTACATGGTGGGTTCGAAACCTGTAGATTGCAAGTCAAGTGCTTAAACCATGAGTCACCGACGGTTGCACTCACTGC